GAGAGCAACAGAATTGCTGCATTTGTAAAAGCAAAGAAATTCTCTAAAGGAAATATACAAATGTGTCATATCTCGATTTACATTAACTAAGCAAAACGTTCCTCTCCCCCAACCCCAATTCAGTATCTGAATTTGGTATCAGTATTAGGATCTGTTCAGGAAACCCAGCTAAGTATGCATGCTTACTCAAGTAAAAGATCCCTGGGTAAAATTGTGTAAAAAATATCCAGCGTTATGATGACTGCCATCAGCTGCAAAGAAGCTGCAGTTCACTAGAGTTGTAGTTTAAAGCAGGAGCTGCTATCTCTGTCCCTCCAATGGCATCCTGTCCTCTGATCTTTAGGTTGACAAACTTTATCTTCCAGTTTTTTTCATCCAGGGGTGAGTGAATGAGGCCAAATATCTGCTCGAAGATGCCAAGGCAGGACTGGCCTCTGTGGATAGTCCCAGCCACACCCACCAGAACCAGCCCATGGGGCGAGGCCAGTGCCCTGAGGCCATGAGGGTCCAGGTTGGGACTGAAGACAAGGTGCTCTCTACTGGTTAGGGCCGAGAGACGAAGGCTGACCAGTTCAGCCCCTTGGAACTCCTCCATCTGCTCAGTCGTAGCTCTGAAAAACACACAATAATCAATTTCCTTTAAAACTGATATCTTTGTTTTCACCCCATTGATTTAATATTCCTACCTAGAAAGAAGTCGTAGTTTCACATCTGGCCAGAAATGCTGCGGCCCCCAGTCTTGAGGCTGTTGGCCCAGTGACGGATTCTGACTGTTCAAGAGCTGAAAGAACCACTGGCAGAACTGCTGTCCCAGAATCAGTGGATCAAAGCCAACCTTGGTTTTTATGTCATTGGAATCAGATGCTGTGGGCTGTTGCTGCTTGGCTTCATCCACCTTTAATGAGTAACAGATTTTAGTCATGCACCACACTTTATGCAGCAATACATATTTCAACTGTCAACTCTTTCTGTAAAAGAGACATTTAAAATAAAATAACAATAATGATCGATAATAAAATTTGTGACTAAAGAGATTTCTATAGAGACAAAACAGGAATCAAAGTGTCTAATTATAAAATTGTAATTAATATACAATAAAAATGATTAGAATTATATTATTTCGAAGGTCACAATTGCTATAGTATTTAGCAAGAGATCAATGTTCAAAATATAATGTATACACACTTCACACACTTTTCTTCTCATCACAGTTGTACTTTCAGCAGACATGTTACATTGTGGGAAATAAGTTTTCACACCCCTTGAACTTTTCCACACCGACATGTTACAGAACAAATACTTTAGTGTAGTTCAGTTAGATTTTTTAGTACATAGGGTCCAGCTAAAAGTAATTTAAATCCTTAATGGTTTGCTTGAGAACATCTTTTGGAGCACTCTTCAACACACTGTTTAAAAATATAAAGAATATGGTAGACATGAAACATAATGCGAACATCCAACTAAAATGACAGAGCAAGAAAGGAGAGCATGAATCAGAAAAGGAACCAAGAGACCCAGATTACATCTGGAGGAGCTGCTAAGATCCACAGCTCAGGTGGAAGAATCTGTAGACATAACTGTCAGTTCTGCAAACCACAACCTTTATTGATGAATAGCAAGAAGAAAGTCATTAGTAAAAGCAAGACGTTCAATATCTGTTTCAAGGGAAATGGCAACATTTGAGGGAAAGTGCATTGGTCAAATAGATGTGTCATGGTAAGACAACAGCCATGAATACACAACCAGTGCTAGAGCAGAATGTCTATATAAAATCTTAGTGTTGCAGTCAAAGTGGCTATGATATTTTTCTAGAAAACACTCCATTTAATCTGACTTTGTAAAAAAAAAAAAACAAGGCATAAATTTTAATCTTTAGATGTGTAGTTGTAAAAACGTTTCAGTAGGTATTAATACTTCTACAAGAAACAATAGTAAATGAGTCTCAGAAAATGTTAGAATTTTTATTGCTGAATGGAATATATATTTTCCATTCAGCTATGAAGTAGAATTTGCAGAAGTAGAGTTCTGCAAAAATAATTGTTAATAGATAGTAGGGTATAGATGTTTTACTAAAGTGAGTGATGATAGAGGGAAATGTTTTTTACAGGGATTGAACCACTTAATAGAGTCATTTAAAATATTTCAAACAATATTTTAGTTTGACTGTTGACTTTCATTTCAGAATACGTCTCCCTTTTACATAAACTCAAATACATACAGTTTCACGATCTAGTTTCAGATATGAAGCTGTTGTTTCAGCGACTCTCATACTGAGTGCCTGTATGCGATTCTTGGCATATAATTGAATGTGTTATTTTTGTGGTATTTAGACAAACATTTACAGTCAAAAATGTATAACATTTTCCAATTTTTTTTTAATTCACAAGAGCATTTTTTTTGTTACTAATGCTTAAATTACCTAAAGTATGTATGTTGCATAACATACACACATATATATGTATTTAATGCCATATTAGTTTTGATACACACACCAAAGAAAGTTTTAAAAATGAACCCATTAAATGTAAATTTCATGTGCAATTTTGTCATGTTTTGTGTATATGTTTTTCACTGATATAATTTATGTTGTTCATTTTAATTGTGCTTTATTTTACAACTGTTAAGTACACTGTCAATTGTTCTCTCATTGCTCTGAAATGTGTTTTTTTTTTTACTGTATTTTATTTAATGTGCAGAAGCTCTTGGACTGATGTTAACCACCAATTTGAATTTTTCTCTTGTTAGGTATGTTTACATTTTTTGATACAAAGTGTGATGGTCTTTGAATATTAAATTAAAAGAAAGAGGTTAAAACTAAAGTGAGTGAAGAAAGAGGAAGATGTGTTTTACATGTAGCAGATAAACATTTTTTCTTTACTAAACATATAGATGTTAAAGACTAGTTATGTAGATTATTGTGAATTTGTGTGAAATACCACACCACTATACAATCACACTCAATTCATCTCCTTTTTCTTTCATTTCAATTTGTAACTGGAGCACAAGCGGATGGACTGATGTTAACTTCCAATTTCACGTTACCTTTTGTTAAAATAAATACTATAAGCTAAAGTATGTCTGGGGTAAAATCAACGTACTGGATCTGAAATGAATAAAGTAGAGCTTCATAAACAATTAGAACACTTTCCAAATTGAGGATTTTGTATGTAAATTAATTAAAAACTCAAATTGCAACTTATTTGAATCATTTATTAAGTGCAAAACTAGCGCAATGTTTTAAATCAGCCATTAAACTACGAGTGTATAACCATGGAAACAGAATAGCACAACCCTACCCTTACTGACGACCACAGCTCCAGGGTCCTCTGTACCAGCTGGTGTTTGTCGCTGGTTGGCGTCATTATCACCCCTTCTTTGACGAGGTATTTAAATATGAGGTCACGGTGAACCTTTCTCCTTCTGAGAAGCTCCTCTGCACTTTTGGAGAAACTCAGAATTGTTTCCATAGCCTCTGTATGAAAAATTAAAAATGTGCAAGCAAACAGCAAACAAACATGTATGTTTTTTTTTCTGGTGTTTTCGCATGTCAAAATATATTCTGGTGTTTTGTGTAAAGGTACATAATGATTATCCACGTTTATGACATTTTTAAGACTTAGTTAAGACTTTGAAGAGCTTTGGTAATAATCTCGGAAGTGTAGTCCTTTTGGACGAAGGTCTTACCCGTCACGTTTTCCACGACAATCATCTTATTTGTAACCGTGTCACTAAGTGACCTTAAGTCAACATCTGTCATCGAGCTAAATATCTTTTTAAAACCAACACGCTCCGTTTCTGAAAGCCCAGACATCATCACAAAACAAAATTTCGGGCTTTTCGCCCTTATCTGCACTGCTTGGAAATGTGTCCGTATAGAAACATTTACTTATGCATCACTGTTCCTCCCATAACATATATTTTTATAGTAGTAAAAATAATAAAAAACTAGGATAACTATAGTTAAATTATCCTATGTTTAGGTGAAATTATTATTTCAAATTTTGCTTCACGTGTTCATATGATTCCCTTTTGTGAATACATGAGTGCTGTATCCTGTTTTTGGAAAGACTGTTGGAGGAATCCGAGTTCACGTAAATGCGTCATGAAGGATAATTTGCGTTCCTTGTTGGTTGTCGAACTTTTATCATTTCCCATTTTATTATTACGTTCTTTTCAAATTTAACATATGTAATGTTTAAGACAAGAAACATGGAATCCAGTATTAGTTCTAATTAATTTATTTGACCGCAAAGTAAATTATATCATATTGATGTCGTGCACTGCAAATGATGGTCAAACTTAAAAGAAAGAGTAGAAGAGTTCCAAGTTTACAATGAGCCCCTGAAGGTATCATCAGAAGACAGGCGAAATGAGGAAGGACGAATCCGGAGCATCCGGTCCGAACTCGTTCCATATTGTGAGTGTCACTTTTTTTTTTTTTGTTTTTTAAGAATATCGGATAGTAAGCATCTTACAAGATCTTGGTGACATTGTGGATATCTTTTTTTATTTAATTATTATTATGATTATTATTTTTGTTAATATTATTTATTCATACTAGTAGTTGCAGCAGTATAATTAATATTATTATTAAGTTTTAGTAGTGATTGTACTGTCATAGTAGTGATAGTTTTTTTTACCATCATTATTAAACATGATTGTTGCAAATCGGCTCCAATGACCTTGCAAGCGGTAGCTATAAAGTCTATAGCTATCACTTGTGTCATCAAGCATTCTTTCATAGGCAATCCACTCTACATTTGAATGCAGTTGAATCATATGGTGTGTGTTGTATTGCTGTTCTCTATTTTATTTTATTTTTTAATAAAGATATTATCTTTTTCTTCCAAATATGACGCTTTTGTTTCAACGACTTATTTCAGAAAAAAAAATAAGCAAAAACATCTAATTTTTCCATGATTATATTGGTTATTTGTGAGAACATGCCATTCACAATATGGCGGACACGCCGACGTACTGTTTTCACTTGGCAACGAAACCAAAGCGGCGTCTGCTTGGGAACTAGCAAGCATAAACCTGCGGAAAGGGCGATGCGCCGTCAGGGCAGGAAGAAAGTGTCTTAGTTTGAGCCACAAATACTTATTATTTAGCATGGTTTAGCTAACGTTATTTAATACGGATTAATTGTGCAATTTTATGCCATACTTCTGTTTTGACCATAGCAAGGAAACCAAGAAAGGTAACGTACTTATATCGTTTACTGATAAGTCATACGCTTGTTATTCAATAATTTAACTCAGTAATAATAACATATTTATGTACAACAAGGATTGAAAGCTAACATTTTCATTTTATATCTGCTGATGTTGCAGGTAATATACTAACATTGTCGCAATGTAAACAGCAATTAGGGAATTTAATTTAAAGGCGCGTTTTATTTGAATATAAAATATATTTTCATGTGTGATATATTTTTTAGATACACTGTTTATTTTATTTAAAGCTCCTTCATTAGAGGGTTAGTGGTCATGTTGTTGCATAAAAACTTACACTCCAAAAAAAAAAAAAAAGAAAGAAAGAAAGAAAACGTTTTGACAACATGCGTTTGGTGGTTCAGTGCTGCACATCGGACCCCATTTACACAGTCGAATCATTATAAAGAGTCTGCGTTAAACACTTGTTAGTTTAAGTAAAGAGGAACTAATTCACCCAATCATAACTTTGTGACATGTCTTCCACACAAAAATGTCAAAAATAGGGAGCAAAAACCCTGTCAAAGATCTGTAAGAAAGCCTTCTTTGCGAATGAGTCTGTCCTGTTTTGTTCTCCATTAAATTGGTAAATTATTTACCGGCTTGCCTGTGTCTCACAGAGGATATTGCACATTTGCACACGTTGAGCAATTACCTTTGACACATTGGTCTGGTAAAAACCGGCCCCTGTATTACAGAACTAAACACAATGAAGGGAGGCGATATATCTATACCCACAATAAAAAAGTGGTGGCAGCATCATGCTGGTGTCTTTCCTTGAACAAATGCAGTAAGCTGGTGGGAGTTGAGCTATTTTGCAAAGAAATAAAGTTGCATCCTGCAGACATACTACAAAACCCTCACTGCTGTCATAGCAGGAAAAGATGGTTTTACAAAGTATTGATTTGGGAGTTGAATTTATGTGCTCCAAAAACTTGCTGAGAATCTATATTTCAATTTCCGTCCAGATCAGAATGCTGCTTTTTGTGGTCTATTTCACACACCTGCAAAACAAATTAAATACAATGCTTTTAAGTTTTTGCTTGAAAAGTGACAAACACTGACAAAAATATCTTGTAGCGTGCTTTAGCCAGGCACTGTATATAACATGCAGAGAACAAAGCTTCAAGGAGATTATATGGGATTAAGGATTATGAATCCACCTTTCTAAACCAGAGATTGCAATTTATTTAGGACCAGATTAGTAGACAATGTGTGACTACGACACCCTTAATAACTAAGGGATGAATACCTTTTGTGTTGTCCTGTCTTATTCAGTGTTGTTCAACTATAAAATATAAGTAAGATAAAAATACCTTTCCACTGATTTGATAAATTGTAAATCTTATTTGTGTTGCAGATGGAGGGTTTTAAGAGCAGTGCTCTTGGCCGGGTAACGGTATACTCTATCCAGGGATGTCCGCATTGTGTACAGGCTAAAGCTACCCTCAGGTCTTTGGGAGTACCAGTATGTGAAGTGGATGTTGGCCTTCATTCAGAGCTAAGAGTGAAACTGAAGGAGCTTACAGGACACAGCACCGTACCTCAAATCTTCTTTAATGGCATCCATGTTGGTGGTAACGACGATCTCCAAAAACTGGTAAGTAGAACAGGCATCTAATTGTGTGATCCCAAGAATTGCCAATTTAATGAAGGAAGAACATGCAAAAGTCAAACTTGGCTCACTTGATGTGTTTTACAATCATAGGCAACTGAGGAGCTTCAAAGACTGGTGACTCTGGTTAAAGAAGAGCCTCTTTCAGCAAATGCTCCACCGTTACCAGAAAATAATCCATTTGAGGCTCCAGATGATGAGATTGATGGACGTAAGCAATTTACCATCAATTCATTTGGTGTTTTTGGGATTATTGTTTAACCAAAACAGCATTCTGTTGCAATTATGGGTATTTCCCTTAATGCTTGGTGTGTTGAAATATTGATACATAATGCTTTCATATTTTTAAGAAGTATAAGGAATATGTTAAGCACCAAAATCTGTGTCAGGTTTGTAAAAGAAAATGGATAAAGAAAATGGATAACTTTCAGGAGACAGATTTTGCTGAATCACTTCTATTTGAGAACGAGTCTAAATCAGTAAGTATTATGAAATAGCGCGAGCTGATGGGAAGGACATGTTGGTATTTTTACGTAACAGCAGCAGTGTTTGTGTGAGGGATTTTTTGTCAGGCCAGACTTGGCTCTGCTTGTTAGTGGTGACACAGAATATTTGATTCTATAAATGAGGCCTGCAGCACCTGACTGCTGATGGGGAGCCTTTTAAATCTTTGAATTAGGTTATCCAACAGTGTAAATAATCTTTTCATCATGGCACCACCAGCAAAGTTACTCAGATACATGAAGCTTCCTTTGGGATTAAAGTTTGCATTCCTAATTAGTATGAAACTGTGTTTTATGAAATTTCTTTTTTTAATTTTTCTTTGTCATCTAAGTTTTTTTTAAACCAAAAGTAAAATAAATTCAACAAATTCTGATGATGTGTTTTCCACCTGACACTAAGCTGAGATTGTTCATAGGAAACAGGCTTGCACAGAAGCCTTTATTTCTTGCAATATATAGCTTCAGAGATCTATTTCTGTGTGTTTGTAAGTGGCTTTGGGATGTTGCTATTCACAGAACTCAGAGGTGAGAGAGATGAGTTTGCAGAGTTGGTAGAGGACCTGAAGCATTCTGGTGTGATTGGCACTCAGAGGAGGGGACTGACCTTATACAAAAACAGCTTCTCAGGCATTCAGCTGTTTGACTGGCTGCAATCAAAAAAGGGCATGGGTAAGTTGGGCTATAGAGATTTCTGACATGCAACATGAAAACGATGGACTCCAAGTCAAAACACTTGTTTAAATTAAACTGTCAGATCTTTACCGTGGACATGTTTGTGTTAGACAGAAGTGAAGCCTGTAATACAGGCCGGACACTGCTGCAGAAGAAGTTCATGGTCAGTGTGAGAGGCAGTGGAGAGGAGGATGGGTGTTTTGGAGAAGGAAAAGAAACCATGGACACACTGTACAGGCTGCTGGAAGATGACCTTCATTCACCTTTGAATGGAGGACAGACAGCCGCCTATACTCCGAAACAGGGTAGGTCAGGAGAGGACCTGCTTCCTGGCATACACACTTTGCTTTCTGAATTGGTGCAGATTCAGATTACTAACTCTCAACTTTCTCTGAAGCTTGTCCTTTGCTGCTGGCTTTGGTGCGTGATCCTTTTGGCTTCACTTAGGTTTGTGTGCTATGCATCGAATGTTTGGGATGGTGAAAGTTAAAGCAGGGGTTACTGACACTTCTAATTTTGACTTGCCGGAGAAATTAGTCAATTAGTCAGCTGTGAAATGTTTTTCATGAAGCACCTCAAAATATGTGGAGCTGTGGAACACATTCATATTCTATCACTCTATTAATACCCAGCTGTAAGAAGGTTTAACAAAATTAATATATTTTGACAAAATGTAGAAAAAAGTTTTTTTTTGAGACATTTATGAGACAGTAATAACATTATTATAAGTATGATACACTTATCAGGTTTTTCACTTTATATTTTGACTGATTCAGTTATTTTATGCTAAAGTCTTATGATTTAGAATCATAAATCAGCTGCAGGATGTCAGCTGCAGGTACTACCTCCTGCAATACCTGCAGGAGGTAGTAGTTTGAAGTCTAACAAAAAATAAGGAGGATTATCCACATTTCAAACCTCTGTCTCATGTATTTGCTCTGCTTCCTAAATGAGTGAAAAATAATATGTCTTCATTAATCCTCTTTTTTTAATAAATCAGAATTTTGTTGGCGTTTTGATTTCGGTGCTGCTTCGTATTTATTCATGTATTTGACTGTTGCATGTTTAACCAATGAGTGTCTTATAGTGTTCTGTGCAGAAAGGTTTATATTCATGGTGTGGGTCGACTTACTTTCTAATAATCTAATTTGTGCCACAAAGCCTTGCATGACACCAATTGCAAGTTTTTGTTAAACATGAAGTTTAGCTTCTATACAGTAAACTTTTTTGTTGTGCTGTAGTTTAAGTAAAATAAAAAAAAGGTTTTTGCAGTGCAGATTTCTGGATGTTCCCATCAAAACACTTGCTAACTTGATACCTGGTCTACAGTACATTTTAACAATCTTGTTCTTTCTACCTTCTAGCTGCTGAGCTTTCATTGCTTTTACGAGAGTTGATTCTGAAGTTGTTCTCGGAGCATCTCTCTGCTGATGGCAAGGTAATGTTCTCAGTGCTCCAAGGCTTACTGGTTGTAATATATATGCATCTGAGCTTTTGGCTGTTTTCTGAGTTCTGTATATGGACCCGTATCATGCACTGTTACAGCAATGAAAGCACAGATGATAATACTGTTGTATATGTTTCATTTTTTTACATTGTCTGTTCATATTTTTAGGCAAAACATTGCATTTGTCCATTTTGTTGCTCTTGCTTCGACAGTCTGTGGATTATAAAGGGATGTCTGTGGACCCAGCATTTGAACGTTACTGTGAGCTGGTCATTCAGCTCCAGAGGGTGGAGTTGCTCTCACTGAGCCGTGAGGAGAAGCTGGCCTTCTTCATCAACATCTATAACGCCTTAGTCATCCATGGATACCTGCGCCTGGGGGCCCCTACCAACATGTGGCAGAGATACAAAGTAGGATTACAAAGAAGATGTGCCTCAAAACCTCTACGCCGATAAAGATTTTCTTTTTATGCAATATTTATTCACGCTGGGCTTTGCTAGTTCCTTCCCAATACACACAATGCACTGTTTGTTTTGAAGCATCAGCCTCTGAGAGTTTTCTACTCTACATTATATGTAATCTGTACATTTTACATTTTTTTCTTAGATTCATAAATATTGTATTTGGCTATTTTCACCTGGTATCACATTTTCTTATATGTGATGCAAGTGTAAATTAATTAGGTTCTGTTTATTTTTTGTAGTTTTTCAACTATGTTAGCTACCTTATTGGAGGTGAAGTCTTCACTTTACAAGACATTGAAAATGGCGTCCTTCGAGGGAACAGAAAGGGAATTGCACAGCTCCGAAAGCCCTTCTCCAAAACGGATCCTCGACTGCAGGTCTCCACACTCACTCACTATCGAAAGCCAGTTTAATATCTTACTCTTGCTCATCAGTGTAACTAACCAGATAGAACTCCTTTTGTCATCCACTAGGTGGCGCTTCCAGATGCTGAGCCCCTGATTCACTTTGCTTTGAACTGTGGTGCAAAGGGCTGTCCCCCGATTAAAACCTACACACCTCAGGTACGTAGATGTCAGCTCTTGCTGGTGTCCTACAGTGTTCAGTGGTCTGTTTTCATTCTGCGGGTTGATCCTGGCAGTAAAAGGAAACATTTCTGATTCAAACACAGGATATAGACAGCCAGCTCCTCACCGCGGCTGAAGCCTTTCTGGAGAACGATGATGCCTGTATGGTTGATTCTGGCAAAAACGAAGTGCGTCTTAGTCAGATATTTAAGTGGTATAAGACTGACTTTGGAGGCACAGATGAAAAGGTACATTTAAATACTTTATAGACAATTTTTTTTCACATTTGAAACTGAATAACTGAAGGTTATTCAGTTTAACCTTCTCTTACAGCTGCTGAAGTGGGTGCTAGATCATATGGGTGACTCTCCAAAGAAGACTAGCCTTCAGGATGTCCTTTCTGCTGGGAAAACTAAAGTCAGCTTCCTCCCTTATGACTGGAGCTCCAACAGCGCCCACTGAGCATCCCCACTCTGTGGTTTTATGGCTTCTCATTTTGTCTACTCAGCTATGTGTGCTTGAATCCACCGGGATGGAAGTTTGCACCCAAATAAGATGCTATCGAGACTTCCGGTTGGGATGCGAGAGGAGTAGACGCTCGCTTGGACTGCTGCTGCATTTGTACTTTACATACTTCCTTGTAACCCCATCTCCTTTGAAAAGACTGCAGTATTTTATTTTTATTGATTTATTTTTTGTAGTTATTATTTACCGTAAATTTACTTTATCATGTCCAAGGCCAAAGGAAAATCGTCTGAACGAGAAAAAGACGCGCCTCCGACTACTGCTAGCATAACAATGGCGGACATTAGCTCGCTCCTTAGTAGTCATAAAGAGGCTCTGTCCGCGGAGTTCAAGTTGTCTTTTGAGTCTCTGAACTGCAAACTGGACAGCATCAACTCTACTATGACGGATCACGGTCAGCGTATTTGCTCTTTGGAGGATAATGCAACCGCTTCTGATGCGCGCTTGGGGCAGGTGGAGAAGGTGTGTGCTCATCTTCAAAAGGAAAATGAAATGCTGAGAGCGAGGTTGGTGGATCTGGAGGGGCGCAGCAGGCGCCAGAATATTCGCATTGTCGGTTTACCAGAGGATATAGAAGGTCCCCGGCCATCCTCGTTTTTTTCTCAGCTTTTGCCTGAAGTCTTCGGTAAAGACACGCTCCCTTCCCCTCCTGAGATAGATCGAGCGCACCGCACCCTCGCCCCCAAGCCCGCCCCGGGATCCCGTCCTCGCCCTGTCATCCTGCGCTTCCACAGATTCCAAGAGAAAGATCTGATTATCCGCGAAGCCCGCAAGAGAGGTGCACTGTTTTATCAGGGGCATAAGATCCGCTTCTATGATGACTACAGTCCAGAGGTCGTGAAGCAGCGCGGTGAATACAATAGTGTCATGACTGAACTGTACAAGCGGGGATACAAGCCGGCGTTGCTATTCCCTGCGAAATTGCGCATCACTCTCCCGAACGGAGATAAGAAGTGGCTCCCGTCGGCCGCGGATGCGGCTAAATTCGTCCAGGATTTGGGTCAGGTTTAAGGAGGAAAAAAGAAAAAATAAACCCGCCTGGCCTTGGAAATTTAACATTGGTTTCTGGTTTCTTTTTTTTTTTTCTTTTTCAATTGCGTGTTAGTATTTTCTTAATTCAGTGAGGCTTGTTGGGCCTATTGGTTAGTGAACAATTCTTTACTTACGTTACACAGCTTGATCATTTGAAGCTATAAGGAGGTCTAAGGGGTTCAAGTCTACTCTGTTTTTCCATAATGCAGTGGCTAGGAGCTGGGATTTAGGAAAACGGAAGTATTAAAATATGCTGATAGGTTTATCAGAGTTCTGGTGCCTGCATTTTGCAGCACCCCCTTTTTTTCTCTCTCTTCTTTTTTTTTCTTTTCTCTTTTCTGTTTTTTTTCTTTTTCTTTTTTTTTTTCCTCTTCTTGTATGTGTTTTGCGGCCCCCTTATTACATGTATTGGTGCTACTTATTACAGTTCATTGTTCACTGTCATTTTCATATATGTCACACCTAGGGTTTTATGTCAAGTACTAACTCCTCATCGACACCAGGGGATTCTTTAAGATTTGTCAGTTGGAATGTGAAAGGGTTGAACTCTCCTATGAAGCGTAAACAAGTATTTAATCACCTAAAACATTTAAACACAAAAATTGCTTTCTTACAGGAAACACACTTAAAACTTTCAGACCAGTTCAGGTTTCGCTGTGGTTGGGTTGGCCAGATGCATCATTCATCATTCAATAGTAAGGCACGTGGAGTTGCTATCTTAATACATAAATCTGTTCCCCTCGCTGTGACCAAAATCATATCAGACCCTAATGGCCGTTATGTTATTGTCCTGGGAAGAATTAGTAGTAGCAATTTGGCATTAGTAAACTTATATGGTCCGAACTGGGACGATGAGAACTTTTTCAAAAAAATTTTCTTCTCACTTCCTGACCTAAATAATAGTCAGCTCATTCTTGGGGGTGACTTTAACTGCTGCCTTGATCCTTTACATGACCGTTCCTCAAGCAAGTTATATTCAGTCTCTAAGTCTTCCAAAGTCCTACATACATTTATGCAGCAATATGCAGTCTCAGACGTTTGGCGTTATTTTAACCCGAACACCAGAAAATTTTCCTTCTTCTCCCCAGTGCATTCTACTTTCTCTAGAATTGACTTCTTTCTTCTTGATAACAAATTGCTCTCCTCAGTTAGGTCATGTTGCTATAATCCCATCGTAATCTCAGACCATTCTCCTGTCATCTTGGATCTCTCTCTCCCGGGCAGACCTACTTCACGGCGTCCGTGGCGCTTTAATTCAGTCTTACTCAATGACCCTGTTTTTGTCAAAACTATGAATGACTGTTTAGATCTGTTTGTCTCCTCTAATGTTACTCCAGATGTATCTGCTGCAACAGTTTGGGAGACATGTAAGGCATATTTACGGGGGGAGATAATAGCTTACTCAGCATATTTTAGAAAAACAACCACACAAAAAAGTCTTTCCCTATCTGACCTTCAAACAAAATGTGCAGAGTAAAAAGCTTGTTGATAAAAAAGGCTGAATTTGACTCTCTAGCCTCTGACGCAGCTGCAGCACTATTATTAAAAACCCGTTATGGTTATTATGAGTTTGGTGACAAGCCCAGCAAAATTCTTGCTCATCAGATCCGGCAGAGAGCTTCAAACCAACACATCGCTGAAATAAACATCTCCAATGGGACTTCTATTGATCCACAAATTGTCAACAATCAGTTTAGAGACTTCTATTCTGCTTTATACACTTCAGAGTGTTCACCTGATCAAGCTCATTATGAAAGTTTCTTTGATAGTTTTACTATCCCTACAATTGATACAGAAACAGCCTCTGATTTAGACAAGCCCTTTACACTCACTGAGGTCAAGAGTGCTGTATTATCAATGCAGAGTGGAAAATGCCCTGGACCTGATGGCTTTCCATCAGAATTTTATAAGGTCTTTTCAGACAAATTGTCTCCCCTTCTGCTTAACATGCTTAAAGAAGCATATGAATCTGGTGTTCTCCCTCTCACAATGCGACAAGCTACTATCTCGCTTATCCTAAAGAAAGATAAAGATCCACGAGTCTGTAACAACTACCGGCCAATTTCACTGCTCTGTACAGATGTCAAGATTCTGGCAAAAATGTTGGCAAAACGCCTGGAAGTAATCATGCCCAAAATCATAAACTCTGACCAGACAGGGTTCATTAAAAACAGGCACTCCTTTCACAATATTAGGCGGTTGCTAAATATAATATTTTCACCTACATCAGCCGAGACCCCAGAAGTGGTTATCTCAATGGATGCTAAAAAGGCTTTTGACAGAGTAGAATGGTCCTATTTGTTCTACACCTTACGACGTTTTGGGTTTGGCTGTTCCTTTATTTCTTGGATCAAGCTGTTATACACTTCACCATTAGCCAGTGTTCGCACAAACAATGACCACTCAGAATATTTTCACCTAGGTCGTGGAACCCGCCAGGGCTGCCCACTCTCCCCTCTTTTGTTTGCAATTGCTATAGAGCCTTTAGCTGCAGCCCTGAGATCCAGTCCCATGTGCGGCATCACAAGAGGTGGTCTAGATCATAAAGTCTCTTTATATGCAGATGACCTCTTACTCTTTCTCTCAGACCCAGAGACTTCCATGCCTCTGGTATTAGACCTACTTGAAAAATTTGGACAAATATCTGGATATAAACTGAACTTTAATAAAAGTGAATTATTTCCAATTAATGATGCGGCTACAGCCTACCCACTAACTAGTTTACCATTCAAGATCTCTCTGCAAGCATTTAAGTACTTGGGAATCCACGTAACTAAGAATTATTCACAACTTTTTAAAGTCAATTCAAGTCCTTTACTTGACCAGCTGAACCAGGACTTGCAGCGCTGGTCCATGCTGCCACTTTCTTTAGCAGGCAGGATCAGCTGTATCAAGATGAATGTTTTGCCAAAATTCTTGTACCTTTTTCAGTGTTTGCCAGTATTTATCCCAAAAAAATTCTTCAGGACACTCGATACTTCAGTTTTTCACTTCATATGGAACAAAAAACCTCCTAGAATACGAAAGAGTATCCTGCAGAAAAGTAAGGAAACGGGAGGATTTTCCACACCAAATTTCTTATGCTATTATTGGTCTGTTAATATTCGTACTATGTTATTCTGGTGCAATGCGAGCTGTGAGACCCCCAAATGGTTACCAATAGAGGAGGCCTCATGTAGCTCTGGTTCCTTGTACTCCCTTCTATGCCTCCCTCCTGTAATGTTGCCACTTACACTAACAATATAATTGTTAAGAACTGCCTCAGGATATGGGCTCAGATTATGCAACATTTTGGGATCCAGAGAATATCTCTTTTATCACCGCTAAATTCTAATCCTCTATTTCCACCTTCACTCATTGATAAAACCTTTTCAGTGTGGAAAAGCCATGGGCTTTTTTCTGTGAAAGACCTATATGTAGATGGTACTTTTGCTTCATTTGCTCAATTATCTTCAAATTTTAACCGTCCTGCTGCCCACTTTTTTAGATTTCTACAAGTTAGACACTTTATTAGTCATCGTTTCCCAGGTTTTCCAATAATTCCTGCTCCCAATATGGTTGATCAACTGCTAGAAATTAGTCCCACTCCAAAGGGTACAATATCAAAACTATACAACCTCTTAATGTCCAATCTGACTCCTGGGATTGGCCATCTCCAGGCTACTTGGTCTGATGAGCTTAACATAGAGATTGATAATGAAATGTGGCAATCTATTCTAGAACGCATTCACACCTCATCAATTTGTGCCAGACACAGAATTGTTCAGTGTAAAGTCGTTCATAGAGTACACTGGTCCAAAAGCAAACTGGCTCGAATCTTTCCGGACGTGGATTCAAGCTGTGTGAAGTGTGGTTTGGGCCCAGCGACTCTCAGTCATATGTTTTGGACCTGTTCTTCCTTATCTCAATTTTGGAAATCTGTTTTTGACTCACTTTCTGTAATTACCTGTGCTCTCCACTCACTGCTTTATTCGGGGTCCTCCCCAAAAACCAGGTACTGTCACCCCATCATGCTGATCTCGTGGCCTTCCTTACACTACTGGCTAGACGTATCATACTGATGCATTGGAAGAATCCTCTCCCACCCACACATTCTCATTGGTTTAAAGATGCACTCTCGTTCATGAAACTGGAAAAAATTAGGCATACTCTCAAAGGCTCTGTAATCACATTTTCAAGAAGCTGGTCACCATTTTTGGACCATATTATGTCTTTGTCACTTGATGTGACCCCATGAGTGACGCTCCCCCTTACTTTCAAGTTGTATTGACATATACCCTTTAACTAAGTCTTATAACAATTTTAGTAGCACAGACTACATTAAGCCATTTAGGTGTCCCGTTTTAGTTGTTTTCTGTCTAATTTATAGTTTATTTACTTTCTGTTACCTCTGTTTGTTTATTTTTTTAGTCATCTACTTTCTATTCAAGTACTTATGGAAATGATTGGTGGGTTCTGTCTATGTGCTTTGTTTTATTCTTGGTTCTTGTCTCGTCATGTATTAGTTTATGCTTACTCTCCAAAGTACTGTCTCAAGTGTGACCTGAATGTCTATGCATGTTGCACATTGTTATGTGAAAAATCTAATAAAAAAAAAAAAAAAAAAAAAAAAAAGATGCTATCACTTTTGCTGTAAGGACACATTTGCACTGTACATCTGATGCATACTTACATAGTAAGTTCTTACTTGAGGGTTTCATCAATAGTTCCCACCCTTGATTATAGATGTCATATAATTTTATGCAGCATGTTAGAATGTGTGGGCTAACTAAAAATTCCTTTTGTATTCCAGCAGGTTCATTATTAGCTTAAATAGGAGAGTACACATTTTATTTTACTAACTTACTTGAAGAACAAGTATTATCTGTCTGCATCAACAAATCAGGAGTAAAATATTACAACTATGATGAATCCAGTTTAATACCTTCCACATTCATCATGTGGTTCATTTAATTCAAATTGACAAGCCATATCCAACAATGGTCTTTATATTTGCAGAAGTTATGTTTTAAATGTAGCAGATTTAAATTTATCACACCTTGCTCTGCATTTTAATGCTTCAGATATCTCAAGAATAAAAGAAGTAAATACTTTAAAATACATTATAGATTTTAATGTTGTATACTGTATCAAATGAAGAATACCTTGATATTTTCAGGCTTGCTTTAAACAACTTGATTTCCAAACTATGTCAGACGCTGCTGTCAGTTTTTTAATCGGTTGACTGGCTAAAGATTTGCAGCAAAATGTTGTTTTTTATACTTGTTTCCAGAAGTAACAGTTCGTTCAATCATTTATCAAAAGTTAGAATTTCAAAATTCAATGTTTGGAAAACCAAGTTGAAACTAGAAAATGGCTGCCACCATACATCGTAGCAGCAATCTCCTTTCATTGTGAATACTTGGAATTGATGTTATTAACTTGTGGTGCTGATTAAGATTGAACAAATCCCTCTTCTTCAGTTGACTCTCCGGCTTGCAGCCAGAGCACACTCAGCTCTAGTGTAACATTATTCTCAGATCCGACTTAAGCAGCGAGTTAAACACAACATAAGTTAAGTTTTCTTATCCTCATACATGCCTTGATGACCTTCTCCTTGATCCAGGTCTTCCGTTGAAAATTGTAAAATAGCTACTTTTTTTTTTTTAAATAAAGTGAGTAAAAAAAAAGAAGGAATGCACTCTGACACTTTGCATGCGGATTGCTAACTTTCTATGCGGTTGAGACATGTTTACTATTTTTCCACAGATGATTAAGTGTTGTCCTACACGATGACATTTAGCTATTTTTTCTGTAAATTGTTTTCTGAAACGAAGGCAAAGTCAGTATAACCTCACCAAGAAATGTTCATTAATTAATGAGATGTGTTTGCCCTTCGATTTAATGTGAACATTTTAGATTTATTTTCAGTGATTTAACGTAGATATTTATTCTACAAACTGCAATCCCAGCATTTAATGTAATTTTTACATACCGTATAATTATTATTATTCTTTTTTCCTCTTTTGGTTATTTATTTAATTTTTTTTACTTTGTTATAATTCTTTTGCAATTGGATGCATATACAGTTGTGTTCAAAATAATAGCATCTTCAAGAAGGTCAAGTTTAAAATTCTGAGAATATTTGTATTCATTTCACATAAATGCATTGATGATACTCCACATTGTATTAAAAGACAAAACATAACCAAAAACACAAATGTAGCAATCATCAGAAAAGACAAAATTATATTTTTAGGTCTTAGGTCTGATTATGTTTACAAACTGTAATATTTTCTGAATTAATTAAAAGCCCAGTTGTTTGCATTCTTTTATTGATTAAACTTTACAATCTTTTCATTTAATGATTCACTTAAAATGAATCAGCAGGATGCTTGTCAGGACTGCAGAATCTGTTTATTTTTATTACTCCACTTCGGCAACTGGTAAATAATTTGCCATGGAGTAAACTACTTTCTTAAAAAACAGTGATCAATTTGGTTGGTGATGTTGGGCTATTTATTTTGAACACAACTCTACATATGTTGTTAAGTTTTCTGATATCATTTATTCCTTCATTTTATTTCCTTAGGTTAGATCAAAGTTCAAACTGTATCTGGGCTCTTTATTTTCAGTGCAAAGAATGCTGCTTGTGTTGAAGATTTTAAACCGGCTTGGTTTATCTGCAATACAGAGAATAATAGATTTTTTTTTTTTTTTTTAATAACAGTAAGCACAGCCAAAGAAAATGGTTATTTTTGCATGTTATAAATCTGGAATGCCTGTATTGCATGTGATAAGGGAAACCGCTCTAACCTTGAATGTTAGCCTACAGCAGAACTGCATGTCTCTGCTTTGTTCAATGCCTGTCAACTCACCCTAAAGGGTCTGAAACTGAATTGTGCTGATCTGATATCGGATAAGCATTGAACCAGTCATTACCCATCAGCATGAGTCATTATCATGCTGATGGATAAATAATGTTTGAGAATTCAGTTCAATAAATTAAACTGGGCAGGAAGCCTTGAAGTACAAAGAGGGTCTCTGGCTTGTTCTGTGATCAGGTGACTGAGGTTACAGGCTACTTAACAAAGCAGAAGAAAATTTTTGCGAAGAAAATAAGACAATGCGTGTTTTTCCTTGTATTGATGTTGTTTTGTATATCTTTAAATTACCTCATTTACTAGAACAATGTGATGCAAAAAATCTTTTTAATAGATGATCCCAATGTAAAAAATATTCTTTCTTTGATACCCTTTTTCGAGGGATTAACAGACAAGCAATATGTTAAACAGTAAATATGCAATGCTGAATTAAAAATATATTTGTTATCTGACTTTTTCATTTGATATAATTGACTCAGAGGTAAATGTTGCAATAATCAAAGAAAACAAACATGTTTTGTGATTTGATATTTGTACATCCAATGGTTGGTTAAAGGTAAGTTTCTCAGATCTTCTGCTGATGCACCACTATTTTTTTCTTGCTCTCTTGAAATTTCACATTTTCTAGGCTTTTAAATTTTAACCTCGATTCTTTTGTCATTTGAACGAGATTCCAGAGAATGTGTGCATGTTCTCCAGCTGGTATTTAGGATACATTATTGACACGATGCACCTCCTGCATAATGTGCAGCTGCACACTGCCAGTCAGACTCCTGGAGAAAGGCTTCCCCATGCTGGTTTTGCTAGTTGTGGAGTGAAAAGGAGTGCCATACTTCACCCACTTTAACGTAATGTTTTTTTTTAAACAACTATCAGCACGATGCCCGTCAAGCAGCTAATAGCCTCTAACAAAATTAGTCCGCCAGCTATCTAATATTAGCTTATAGCACAATAAAAAGTATATTATGTATTTTTTTATTCTTTTGGAAATAGTATATTTTTTACTGAAGGTCATACAAATCTCATACTAGCGTGAGCATCACTCACTTTATTGAAGTGAATCAAAGAAAGCACAATTACTGTTTGCATAGACTAACCATTCAGAATATTTCACAATTTGTTTATTTAAAGAAATTGAACCACGTCTTAAGAAAAATATATGGATCAATATTACATTTACAAAACAGCTATTAACATTTTTACATATAAATAAGATTTGAATGCAGTCCTATTGAATCACACCATAAAAAGTCTTTAAGCTCAAAGTGAAATTTAAGCTCAAAGTCCACAAGTTAGAATCTGAGCCTTGACTTTGAAATAACATCAATTTCTACACTGATTCTGTCTTGGCACAAAGACAACTGGTTTTATTAATAAAAAAAAAAAAAACTTCAATTTTTTCCTATTATCAGTAAACTACTCAACAAAAGTTAGGACCTTCATGTACAATCATGGAAACACATTGTAGGTCTTTAACATTTGCTGTATTTGGCAACAGTTTGAAGGATTTATCCATGGTCTACCCGCCTATCCATGCAGCATGGCGGGGGCGGTTGGTGCCCATCTCCTGTCGTACTCAGGCAAGAGGCGGGACAGTTCACCAGTCCATCACAGGGCGACAGTAACACACAAGACAAACAAACATGCATGCACACACTCATACCTAAGGACAGTTTTAGAAAAAAACAAGACAAAAAAAAACATACATGTTTTTTGAGATTGGTAGGGAGGAAGCTGGAGTTCTGGAGAAAACCCACACTGAGGGAAAACATGCAAGCTGTGTGCAGAAAAAACCCTCTCTGGGATTCAAACCTGGGTCCTATTAAATATAAAAGTTCAAAACTATTACATTTTAAACTATAATAGCTAAAAATGTCAGATCAAGACATCGATGAGTTTCCAGTTTAAAATGGTAATGTTAAGAATGGGGCACAAATTTATGGAAGACATTTTCTTATCTACATAGTGCCATTGAGTTAAAAGATTATCAAACTCATAGGTCAACTTTCCAATAAATCTGAATATTAATGAAAATGATTCTTGCTGATTTATGCTACACTGACAGAGAAATTAATACAAACAGAGCTCTCTCTGACCAAATATTGACTGCATGTACAGCACTTTAAAATCCACCTACATTCTCAGTAGGTGGCTATCATAATATTAGAAATCTTTTTATTTCATAGTTGTAATATTCAAATTCTCTGAGACACTTGTGTTTTGATTAGCTGGAAGCCATAAGTGAGAAGATTAACAGAAATGCTTGAAATACATCATTGCATTTTCTGTAATGAATCTATATGAGCACCTAAATTAAGCTATTTAAATTTGTATTTCCATAATATTTGAAATTAGTGAGCTGTACCCATCATTTTGAGCAACTCCAAAGATGTGGACATTACCTTTGAAAAACTCCCCAATGACACTTGAAATGATTTGCTTTTTTTCTAAATTAATGTAGACTTTACAGTTATTATGCAAGTAATTATTTTGACAGTTTCACTTTTATATACTTTTTCCAACTCCAAACTGAATCAACTTTAATTCTTATTGAATGTAAGTATGTCAGGTGATTCGTATGTCTGTAATTAAGGAGGGTGTCTGCATTTTACTCAGGTGTAAAAATGTTCAATGCTGAGACATAGCCGAGGTAAGAAAGTCTAGAAGTCGACGGCAACACACTACGTCAATATGTCGTTAAGTAATGTCAGAAGACAGCGTTTATTTATTCATTTTTATGGAATGACAAGAGTGGGAGCTCCACTTCAACTGACTGCAGCATGGTGGAGGTGGAGTGCTGAGATGATTAAAGATGAGCTTGTTACATCATTTTAGATTGAGAACTTAATCAAAATAAACTCTTAAAATAATTAGAAGTTTCTTCAAGAAAAGGTACAAATAAGAGCAGCCAGCAAATTTTAAGAAAACAACTTTTTTTATCCAGGGTGATGCTCCACTGCTAAGTGGCTAAACGACAAACATCTTAAAGACAAAAATAATAATATGGCTTCCTTCCTCACCTAAACTAAACACTTACAATCTCATTATTGACAATTAAAAATAGATTTCTGTTCATTTAATAAAATGAACAGAAAATATTTTAATTTAGATATTTTTAGAGACTAACAATTGTCCATTACTTTTGCCCTTTTAGTCTCTGAAGTACTCAGGTTTTTAATTGCTCAAGATTCATATTAAGACTCAAAATTATAACTTGCATAATAATTGTAACTGGTATAAATTAATTTAAATAAAATTTAAATCACTTTGTTGCTTAATTAAACATAATAAAAGTACAGTAGCTGTGTCCGTTACATTATTGCTCGATTTAGAATTAACTACACATTTTGTTGCTGATTTCCTGCTGTAAATATCAAAATGAGAAATGAAAACAATAATTCACAGCTCGTCATCAACCACAAACAATATGTTTATGAATGGAGTTAAAGAGGTTTTGTGCCATAATGTTCTGATCAGTGAACCAATGAGGCTAACTTTCATCATCTGAATCAAAACCAAAAAGAGATGAGCATGTGTTGCGACTTTCATGCGTTTGTAATTCCTCCAAAGTGCTGAAGGAGGACAGACATTTTCCGCAGCGATGTCGGACCTTCTGGTCTGGGACGACCACATTCTCCTTTGCCTTTTCTGCAGCCAGTTCTCTCATCTTCTTCTTGTTGACGTATTTTTTTACGGTCTCCTGTTCAGCGGAACTCCTCTTCCGCATTGAAAGCACCGATTCGTCCAAGTAGGTGGAGGGTGGCGGACGGACAAAGGGTGTTTTTACAAATTGGGCATAGGCAGGATCTTCGGGTTTAAAGGTCTTGTGCTCCGTGATGTGCGGTTCTGCTATGTTCTTCTGGATTCCCTCAGCCAAAGTGGAAATATCTTGGTACTCTCTGATATTTATGACATCCCAGTCGATCAGTTTTTTTTCAGGTTTCTTTTTAGGGGTTTTCGCGGCACCCGTTGCAGCCTTGGATTTCTCTGGGTTAAGTTTTGTCACTTCCTCAAATCCATTGATTGTGGGTCTAACTTCCATGATTTCAGGGCTAAGTGCTGCTGTTGTTGGACAAATCCATGTAGCCAAATCCTGGCTGTTGTCTAGACTAGTTGTTTCCCAATCTTCAGCTTTGATTTTATCAGAAGGACTCATTTGGCTTTGGGACTTTTTATTCTGAAGCCAAATTTCTTCAATTTTTACCCTTTGCTTCCATGGAGCTTCTTTGCTCTCCTTGTCTTTCAGGTTGGCTCCAAGGTCAAGCTCTTTCCTCTGTGGCACTGGGATGTAGTGTCTCCATTCGTGGTCAGAAAGACCCTGAAAACATGAGAAGAGCTTCTCACAGTCTGGGTATGAACACTGAGGTCTGAAGGGCTGGTGGGTGTTGATGTGGTCCTTTATCTCTGGCTGTGTTGCAAAGCGCTGTTTACACTCTATGTGGTAGCAGAAGAACGGCAGAGGATCATCATGGAGCTTCATGTGGTGCTTATACTGATCCAGGAACTGCATATGCCTGTCAGAGGAAACAAATGTTTAAAAAAACAGAACATTTTCAGTCCTTAAACATAACAATCAGATCTGGAAATACTTCATATTTGACGCCTAAAGATCTGAAAGTGAAGAATAAAGATTGTGCGCAATGGAGTTGACATCAAATAAATAACATTTTTCATGAACACAACAGTGTGAAAAACAGCTTTTATAGTTCATATGTCATCCTCTTTGTAGAATTTATTAATCGTTTCCACATGAATTTTAATATTAAAGATAAAAATGCTTTTCTTTATTAAGAAAAAAAAGCTATCCAAATCAATCTGGTAATATGGCTGCATGATGCGTTCATCCAAAAAATTAAAAAAAATGGGGTCATAGTAATTATTTTTTTTGTTTTTTTAATTTGCATGATAACAAATTTAGATCTTTTGTTTTCATCAAAATAGAATTTTTTTTAAATTTTGGTTCTTACCTGAGACAGAAACAGCACTTGTGTTTGGACCAAATGTAAGTCTTCTCCAGAACCTTCTCTTCACCAAGATGACATTTGATGGCATGCCTCGTCAGCGAATTGTTCAGTTTCAAGAAAACTCGATCGCAGACATCTGACGGGCACAAGGGATATGTGTAATCCACACTGCACCCATTCTTCCCCACTGGAGCCTCCCTGCCCTCTTCCCCTACTTCCTCCTTTATCGAAGCCACATTCTTTATCATCACCAGACCATCTGTAATGACAACTTGCTCATCTGTGAATTCAATCGGGTTAATCTCTGCATTTGGGTTTTTGTTTCTTTTATGAAACAAAGCCGTCTTTCTAAGCAGGACGCGGACATTTCTGATGATCCGTTCTTCCCTGTTCAGGATCAACACCTGCTTTTTGGATTTGGATTTAGGTTTCTGTTCAGAAGTTTCGTTTTCGGCAACAGGCATCTCAATTTCTTTATCGGGCGGGTGCTCTTTTTCCATGATTCCATTAGTAGGCGGATTTTCCTGCATTTGCTCCACATTTGGTTTATGATTTGACATTTCATGAATGTGTTCGAGAATATGCTTTCTGGCCAAGGGGAGAAGCTTGAAGCGTTTTCCACAGAGAATGCATTTTAGTTTCCTACTCTTTAAATGTGAGAATGCGTGCCTCATCACATTCAAACCCTTGAATGTTTTATGGCAGATCTTGCAGGCATAACTTAAGTGACCATACTGTTGAGTCCGCAGCAATTTCTCCCTCCATGTTTTTATGGGTTTGATCTGGACAAAGACACAAAAAAGCAAAACGTAGAAGTCAATTATAATCTTATACAAAACAATATGAGAAGCTGCTACGACATCAAAACATTTTTATCTGATTTTCCTCAATTTTCTCCCAACAGTACATAAAACAAACTATATAATACACTCCAATGGACAAATTGATACAATTGCTGTTTTCTATATCAGTCTGCTTCTCCACCAATGGATACCACCTGTTCATACTCACTCATTGAAATTTAATTCTTATATTTCATACCTCAAAACAAACCACTAAGATTCCAGGTATTTAAACAATTGGACATCATGTTTTCTACATAGAGAAAATTTTATTAATTAACTTAATTTTATATTAATTTCTAAAAATGTTTCATTATATCCTATGTTCGCTCATAAAATATGACAAATTATGCCCTCTGACCAAATCTGAACAATTCAGAGCGACCACCACATCATAAAACAACGTTACCTGATGGTAGACAATACGTAGAAAAAAAAAAAAATACTTCATCAGCACTCAAAGTGGGTATCCAGACTTAATGTAGCAGAAAGCTTGATTTTGCCCTTACGGGTGGTCGAGTACCTCATGCAGTAAACTCTTTCCAGCGGGAGTCAGATGCGCTTCCTCCTCGCTCAGATTGTAAATGAGTCTCACAAGCAAAAAGCTTGAATTGGCTACAGCCAGAGCAGAAATTAAAGAACCATCTTTTCAGAAAATAAACTGTTTCACTAAAACTTAGATTAGAAATGTAGGTTTCTAAGCTATTAAGACCAAAGGCTTGAAAACTAAATTTGAATATTTATGAAAATAATGTGATTTTATAATCAAATGACTATGTCAAACTCATGGGAAAAATATGAAATGAAAAAAGATAGATTTAAAAAATATATAAAAATCAACAAATCAATGGTAAGCTAGTCAAAATTAATTGCTGTTTAAACAAAAACTAATCTTATCCTGGCCGATGTTGATTTCTGATTTTCTCATCTGGCCTGTAGATAGAATACATTGAAAAGAAAAAGTACTACTAGATCATCCCTATAAACACAAAGCATCTGATGCCAACCATCTAATTTTTATTACATTCAAAGTGAAAGCTGTTAATCGATGAATTACAGTGAAAAATTAGATCTCATCAGAATCGAGCTTGGCTGTCACTATTCAGAGCTGATGAAGGGCAAAATGGGGCCAAGTGACTTTTTGAATCTCTATTACAAAGTTATTATTTTGATTTCCAAAACTGGCAGCAATGTGAAGTTATGCAATTACAGTAACAATACCCTATTATTAGGATGAGTAAATAAAAAAAACTGACCTCAGTTTCTGGTTCTTCTATTTCCACATCTGACTCCTGCTTTGTGTTGCCATTAACCTCATCAGATGGCTTCAATTCTGGAGGTTTTGGTTCTTCACTTTCAGTATCTCTAGAAAGAAGGGAGTAATTGTGCAGCAACTCAACCGGATTATCCAATAACTCAAAGACAGGACCATCGAGCTCGGGGTCAGCTTCGACAGCAACAGCAGCAGCTTGGGGCTCACTCGGTAGATCTTCACAAAGTTTCGATTCCAAAGATGTCTGAGGTTGTTCATTGAGACTGGAACCAATAACCACACTTGAGTCTTTGTTGTTTTCCTTGTTAAGTTCATTCAGATGCTGAACTACCTCTTCTGTGTGTTCAGCAAAGCTTGAAGGGATATCATCCAAATCAGGTATAACTTCCTGTTTGTCTTCTGTTTCCACCTCAATACCACATGATTCCTCTGTGAGGTGAAGTTCATTATCGGGGAAAGATAACTCCAGCTTCGGTAAAGGCTTTCTTCCTCGCTTTTTGCCACCAACTCTGATGACTGTAAACGTCTGGACTTGCTCCGTCTTTGGAAGACCCTGCATCCATCTCTTCTTCCGACCCCTTCTTTTAAAAATCTGGTTCTTAACACTTCGGGACAAGTATTCTCTGTTGTGGTTTGAAGGGAGAATCACAGGGGCAGAATTCCCCACTTTTATTTGGGTGCATCTCAGAGAGTACATGGGTTTACTACTCAAAGAAGTGGGTTTGAGATTGTATTTAAATTCTGGATCATCAACAAAGTCAACCTCATCGTCTGACAAAGGTTGCTTCAGTCTCTTCCATTTCCTCCTCCTTTGATGAATATGACCTCGTGGAACACACTTTGTTTCTGATTTAACCACAACCGGAATTTCAGGAAGGTCTTCGCTCTCAGTGGGACCTGGCGTGCTGAGGCATGACTCAAGACATAGGGTGCACGACTCATTCACACAGTTATTCGGTAAGAGATATTCACTAGATTCCTTTTCCTCTTCCGCCTTCATCTCGTCCAGAACAGCGTCTTTCATGACCGTATCGCTCATCAACTCTAAGCAGTGAGTCCTGAGAGTGAGCAGGTTCCAAAACTCAGGGTCAAAGCACAGGCGCTCTTTCAGCATCTGGAAAGGAAAAGATGTTGTTAAAATGTCTTAATTAGAAATATTTTGTAATTTGTTCTTTTAATTAATTTCTATAATTTAAAAAAAAAATATTCCAATCTTACAGTTCTTCTCAGTTTTCAAATTATGAATTTATGAACTGGGGAGAAAAAATCTTGATGGCAGAAAGAGCATAAATGAGTCAAACCATTTGTGGCACCTTGCAATAAGACAAACATCGACGCAGAGGGACTTTCACCAATTGTTCTTTGCAGAAATAATTTCAAATCAGTCACATTTCAAGGGTTTTTGAAAACAAACCTGATACTTCAAACTTTAAGAATATTTTTGAACCTTTGAGCGGTAGATGTGACGTCTAGCTTCGGATCACTGTTCTGCAACGTAAGTCAAGTGTCCTTGAGCTAACGCCGAGTCTGAATCGAGCAATGAAATGGGAATGGCATCACATCTGAGTTGACACACTCACATGTTATTGCTAGAAGTCAGAAAATAGTAGGATTTTACATTTGTTCTAGAGCAAACTATTGTTAGTAATACAACTTAATAATATATATTCTCTCCATTTTATGCATTCAAACCACAAACATCAGCATAACCATAAAGTTTATAATAAACAGGAAACATGAAGTGCGCTCAAATTTCCTACTGGACAGCTACATTGACCACAGATTCACAACATCCAGTGGACCAACACAACATGGCACCACAAACCATCAATGCCTGCAACGTGGATTATGTGCCTATCCACTCTTCCTCCAAATGAAATGTAAGCTTAAATTTTGACCAAGAAGAACCACTATGCAAAAGTCCAGTTCTTTCTCTCCTTGACCCAGATAGGATGAGGAACCTGGCTCCTAACTCCAGCCTCAGTGAAGCGCGTTTGAAGCTCCCCAAAATTCTTCAAAATATTTTCTTTACATTCCTTTTAAGGATGCATCTATTGATGCACCTTTTCCTAACACATTTTTTTAGTTGATAAGCTGATTAGAGGGTGATTATAGTTTTACATTGAACTTTTTCACAAGATTAAAACGTTCTAGAACAAAATTTTATTTTTGTCATTTTTAAACAATAATTATCAAAATTACAAGAAACAAAGGCCTAATATATTTCAGACTGTGTGTAATGAACTAATTTATGAAGTGAGTAAAAAAAAATACTTTACTTTCTGAAAATGTAATTTCTTTAGATGCATGTCTTGTCATTAATATTTTAGAAACCTACCTGCAGAATATGGAAGCGAACATTGGTTCGGAGAGGGTTGTTGTGAGGATGTTGCTCCTGATCTGGATGCCTGTAAAGAAGACACACAGTCCGGTACGCCTCCAGGCTTCGCTCCTGGCAAAAGACCAGCAGGGAACACGCGCGACAGATCTCCAGGTCATGAGGCAGCAGGAACGCGATGGTCTTGCAGACAAGTGAGCGGGTTACAGTGTCACTCTGCATATCACAGAGCTGCAAAGCCCTTGAACAGAGCTCAACAGCAACCTCAACTCCCTCACCGCCGAGCTTTAGAAATGAGAAGAAACACCGGTGGCAAAAAGATGAGCCAAAAGTTGAATAAGAAAATCAAATGAGTCAGGTCAAGATGGAACAGTGTAAAAACTTTGTGTGGAAATGTCATAAGAATTAAAAAGACATTTCATTAAAAAATTTAATGTTCCTTATGGATCTAAGCTGATGATGAATTGACATTTTTACCTCAGTAAGCAGCTTGATGAAGGGGAAGATGGCTCTGACGTTGGTCGCAGATGAAGCAAGTTCTGAACACTCAGACAGGAAGCCTTGTCGGGAGGGATGGGCCCTCAGATGCAATCTACTCCAGATAAAGACGAGGTCCCTGCAGGAAGGCGAACATGGTCAACTGCATCTCCTTCTGGTATGCAGGTATGAGGCTAATTTACAGATTAGCCTCATCAGACAGCTTATAGCACTTTGAGATTTCATACTCAAATCATGGCAGTCAAAGAGAACATTCTAAAATGTGTAAGCCCAGTTCCTACCAATAGACTAGAGCAAGTTCAACAACATACTGGCACTAAATATTTTAGAAGGATCGTGGTTTGTCTATTAATGTGTTACAAATGAACAACTACAGTAAAACCTCACAGTTATATATATGTAAAAAAAAAAAAAAAACAAGATCTGCTAATTAAAAAGTAATCCTACATGCAAGTATTAATACTTCTTTCTGCTGGTGTCAGATTGAAGAAAGGACATGCTAATTTGACAGAACATCAAAGTAGCAACAACTGTAGAAGATCAGAAGCTTCTACAAATTCTGACATCTGAAGATGTGTGAATATTAAAAAGATTTTAAATACATTTATCAACAGAGTTTATTGCTAATTTTCAAGGGACAAAATGTCTTGTTGATGCTCTACATTACATGTCTAAAAATGTCACACTTACCAGATGTAATACATGTCCCCTTTGTGCAACTGCCGAATGAGGAAAGCTTTACACAGCGACAACAAAAGCTCGTCTTTTTCCACGCTCTCAGTGTTGCAGATTATCTCGACTGCATCACGGCCGTCTATTTCTGCCATCTGAGGAACAACAAAAGCATCACATTCATAACTGTACAGTCATAGCCGATAACACAAAAATGTGTCATTCGTATTGTAATGCACAGAAACAAACTTCTCTGCTGAAGAAACTGCTTAAATATACTGAAAATATTTTGAGCAATATTTTAAAGCAAATAAAATAAAAAAACAAGTGTCTTTGCCATTATTCAACTGCTTCAAAGTGCAACAACAACCTTACCTCTTTCTGAAGGTTTTCATACAGAGAGGCCTTGTAGAGGCATGTCAGGTAGGCCTGATGAAAGTAAAGATGCTTTCCAGTCTCCTGGTTTTCCAGACAGCTTTTAGAAAGAGCCATGGCTTCCTGCATCCGTTCACAGGCCTGCAGATATCGAACGCGCAGCTCCAAAAAGATAGGCAATTCTGTACTGAAGTAGTCATCAACTGCACAGACAGTGAGCACATCAGTTAGATGGACTGTTTCTGTAATGCTCCAAGCTAATAAACTTTAACCAAAATGACACCTGATCTTGCTAAAATTTAACTAGAGGTCAATAATTTTATAGATCCAACTTTTTTAGTAAAAAATACAGTCCATTAGATAACATTCAGGTCAACATACGTCTTTAATATAGTCAAAATTAATATACTTCGAATAGTACAAAATACCTCTTGATATCAAAAGAAACTGCAGAATCATGATTGCTGTTAATGAGCGAGTTGAGCAGGACATATCAATCCCAGTATAATAATAATAAAATACAGCATTTTATTATGCTGCACTTCAAAGCCAAAGAGTCTGAAAATATGAAGTTCATTGACTTTAAAGCTGGCTGGAGCAAATGCTTCATCTTGGGCATAAAAAGTTTTAGATGGGGATATCACTAATTAAAGCAGTATCTTTCCTCATTAAATGCCCCACTAATTTATGTAAACTGAGAAAATCTATCAAGGTCAGTCAGTTTTAACAACAGTTTAATTAGAGTCATTTTTTAAAATATTATTTCACTTTCTAATGCAGTGCACATATACCTTCACTCTGTGGCACTTCTTCCTCTTTCAGAATTCTCTGCAACACTGAATTCTCCCATGGACCTCCACCTTTGATAACCTGCTTCACATGATGAAGATAGATGTTCCTGTGCCTCAAAAGTTTCAAGTGGCATTCCTACAACAACAAAAAAATCACTACAAGTCAGAGCACTACTCAATTTCATTTAAAAAGTTTGATCAGCTTTTGGGAAGTTCACATCTGATAAGTTTTTCATAGTTTAAGTTGGTTGAGTCGTTTTATGCTTGAAAAGAAGTGGCTGAAGCTGGATGCTCTGGCTATTTACAGTGTGCAATACTCAGAGCAATTGATCAAATAAAGTAATCAGAAGTTGTTTTCATACCTGAAAACAATCTAGGATGTTTTTCAAAGGCTCCTCCACAAATTCCTCCCTGCTAAAGAACAGCATCAGTTCAAAGAAGCTCCTGCAAGAGAAAAGGACTGACATAAGGCCAACAATGCAAATAACAACCCACCTCAGTTTGGTTCAGTTTGCACATTTATTTCTTATGCAGTAAAATTCCCCTCACAGTACAGTCTTTTATCTAGCTTTTTATATATTTTAACTTGCTGTGAATCTGTAGGCCTCAACTTGTCACTTAAACCAGAACCTTTCAATTATGTCCATGGATTTCTTGTAGTGACAGTATCGAAAACAGATTCCAAAGGTACTCACAAGGCCAGACTGCTGAGGACATAATGGACGTGCTGACAGTCATCAGGAAAGGCAGATGTGGCTTTGGTAAAATTGCAGAGAGCAGTCCGCAGCACCTTGAGTTGAGGCAGAGGGACATGCCACTGGGCTGTGTACTCCTCCACCAACTGTGCAGGAAGAATGAAGGTAATTAATCCCCGCCAAAAACACAGAAATGCCCAATAAGTTAACTTCAGCTACCACCTCTTTGGCATTCTTTCCTAGGTCTAACATTTCTCCATGAATATCTTGTAAACATTGACACACAGTGCAGGATTATGTTTGTGCATAAGCATGCAAAACACATAAGATGTACCGTAGGCACATGGTGTACCACCGATCAAAATATCATCTAATAAAATACAATGATGTGAAGTACAGTTAAGTGTGTAACTTCAAAGCCGTTTCTTTTTTCCAAACATGAGGCGTGTCTCTATTGTAACACTGTACTAAATCACAAAGAACATCACATTTTTATCGATAGTGACTGAAGGAAAGCTGGCGCTTTCGGCTTGGGTAAAGATACTGAATATCTCGTTCCCGGTGATATTTGAAATATAAAGCTTTTATTTTTAATCTTCTTGACTGTATTAGCCATGACAGGTAATGTCATCTCATAACGTTCTCCACGCAGTGTACACACAAACCTTGTTTCGCCTCACTATCCTGTTAGCTTAGCTTAACTGAAAAGCTACACAGTTAAGCATTTTCAAATGTCAAATAATTAACACTGTTTTATACAGTTTCAAAGGCACAGCTCTGTTTGTATCTTTAGAGACGGGCTATTCGCGTGAGTTCCTGATTACCTATGGCGATACAACTGCATAAATAAAGCTAGTCTGGAGGCTATCGAGAGCTACAAAAGCTAGGAGTGTTAGCACAAAACAAACTCTAATTTTGTCGAAACTGTTTTTTCCAACACACCTCACAAAACTCAGAGCAGTAGTCCTTGCTGTTTAGAGACGATTCGTCCCTGCAGTGTCTAAGACACAGTGAATCCAGAGCTAATTCAAGCCCGTCAGTTTCCAAATCACTTTCGTTGTCCGCCATACTGTATGCTTTATCCAGCGCATAGACAAGGTTGCCAGGTTCATCCCGCATAATCCACCGCATGAGCTTACCTCCTTGCAGAGGCACTACGAATCTGGCAACCGACTTTATGTTGTGAAAGTGCTGATTAAACAATTAAGTGATAAAATATTTTGAACATTTGTTAGAACTGTTCATTACATCCTGAGAAACAGCATAAATTATAAATGAATAAACTAAAATGTTGATAACACTCATTCATACTACATTTTTCAAAACTGAGGTTTGACTGGTTTTGTGATCTACAGGTGAACGTTCATACTTTCCACATGAATCAAATAGGAGTCGGGCCAAAGGTTGCAGCAGTGGTACTGAAGATGGCAGCACCCAAGGAGGATGCAGATATGAGGGAGGACAAAAAGTACCAAAAAAGAGAGAGGAAGTACCTTTCTTTTTCTTCACAAAAAGATCCCCTGGGATGACATGTAAAACTTCACTTAGGTTGCAGATGTAAATTAAAGCAGAAAGAGGTAATCTGTAATGTTCTTTTATATTAAAATACAAATGTTTCTGAACAAATGAGGCAGGTTTTGTCCTTAATTGTTTACTTAACTGTGCACTTCAATACAGGTTGTTGTATGTAAAGATCTGAAAAAAAGTCTTCATCACCACAATGGGATGTATTGCTACAGAAGATGTAAAAGCTAAAATTCAAAAGTAATAATAAAACTTTGAAACATTTTTAAAATATATAAAAAAAAAAATCAATAAAATAAATAGGGCCATTATTGATTCAATTACTATGGTTGCAGGTTGGTTTATTTATCTTTTAAAAAACACACCTAAAAAATATAAGCAAATTGTATATATGTAGTATATAAATATATATAAAGTTTGTATATTATGTAACAACTTGTAAAATTTAGATTCTTGTGGAGACGCAGGTAAATCAAAGGAAGTACCTTGTTACTTTTTCCTGGTTATTGATTTGAAATAAAGCAATTCCAAATAGGCAAAAGTTTTTGTAGGTCAAAATTACAGAATGGAATCAACAAAAAAATCATCAAACATTGGTCTAATGTAGTTGCTGTAATGTGTAGGTGGGAGAAAAAAAAGAATTGACTTATTTTCCTTGGAAATGTCCCTAAAGTTCAGGGGACCATGTTCAGCATGACTATTCAAAAACAGAAAGGAAACAACATTTCAACTGCCTTTATTTATTTTGATGAAGGAAGATAAATGAACCATATCACATAAATGTATTCATACATCTTTCTTTAGCAGCAAAGTTGCAAAGTCTAAATTCTCTCTCTTAGCCACAAGAGGGCACCTTTGCACAATAATTTGAAACATGTCAAATCACAATCTGTCAGTAGACTGAATACAGTTCACCGGTGAAAAATCATTATTATTCCTATACAGCTCTCTCCATCCAAACATTGATACATTTATATTATCTCTTAACAACATATTTCCTGTTGTGCAATCTATGTTTTTGTCTTTTTTTTTTGTAATTCAGACATGGACACTGCGAAAGAAATTAATGGTCACACTGGAAAAGATGTAAGCAACCATATTCCACACCTATTCTTATCTTATTTCAGTAGCATACAGTACACCCTCATACTTGACTCATCCACAATCATTCCTAACATATCACGTACTGTCTTCAAGATGGTAAAAAATAGGAGTCCTATGCCAAGTATTTGAGTGGGAGTAATATAATGAGGAATTTTACACCAGTAACTCTTGAGGCTTGATTAACCCTGTGCTGGCTACAGCGTGAAAGTTAAGCAGACTGGGTTGTTTACCGTCTTCAGGAAAACAAATTAAATAAATACAATTAAAAATATCTGGGAAAATAGAATATGAAACATTGTTACAGCCTAAAGAAAAGGCAGTTTCTTACATAAATGGCAAGCTTACATCATAAAGTTTCTAAACAAGTATCTGATAATTACACACAGATTTTATATATCTGATGTTTGACTCAAAGGCTCCTTAAAGGAAAGGTATGGAAATCGGACTCATCCGGGGAATGCTTTCTGTTTGACACTCCTAACAAGATGTTATGTCAGTTTTCTAGTTTTACTCACATTGACAGGTGAGGTATAAAACAGTTTTAGCTGTTTGGGCAGAGTTCAGATAAACATTTACTTTAAATATTTGAAAAATATTATAAAAGGAGCAAATAAGTAGCATAGAAAATAATTTTGTAATGAACAGATATTACCTTGAGCCAAGGTTGCCTGGTTTCCAACAAGTAGCGATCCACTATTGTCTACTGTCCCTGTAGACTTAGATTTTATTTAAGCATACTTTTTATTCTTCACATGAAGTCAATTTACAGCCAAAAGGTCTGCAAAGCTCATAGATATATTTGTTCTTACTTTTCTTTCTGCATTGTTTAAGTTTTTCTTCCCTAAAATTGACATTGCATGATATAGAGTTTTGGTGAAAGCAGTTTTTACTTGAGTTTAAGGACATAGTGATGATCTCATTCTTGTAATCTACATTTCTTTGTCTGAAGACTGAAATCATTTCTTTTGGCACAGTGATATCATATTCAGCCTTCATCTTTGCACTCAAAGATCAAGACTCTATATAAATAACGTAACCTCACTATGTCATATTTAGACTGATATTTATGCTTGAGTTTACAGTTCACAGATGGTGTGATTTCAGATATAACACTGATGATATTAGGTACATGCATTAATAATTCACTGAAATATGCTACCACACCTGCTGCATTGTTGCCTTGCAGCAAGAGGGTTCTGGGATACAGTCCCATTGTGGCCTTTTGGAATGGAGTTTGTGTTCTCCCTGTGCTTGCGTTCTTTCCTCCCACAGTCCGGACTCATCTTTCTACATTGCCATCAGTCATGAATATGGGAATTCAGGGTTTGTTGTCCTTTTTTGTCTTTGTTCTGCTTTGTGATGAATTTGCCACCAGTCCAGGCTACGCACGGTTACTTGCACATTGATTGCAGGAGCTGTGAACCACCCCTCCTTCATGATCTATTAAGCTGGTATTTAAAAAAAGTGAGAGGGCACTGATGCTTGCATTTAAAAAAGTACCCATTGCCATGAAAACAACTGACCAAGTCATAAAATCAATGAGTCATGGTTCTCTTACTAGAGCTGTTGATAAGGTGCAAATCTTTAACCCCTGTCTTAAGAATGGACATTTTGCTGGCATGACTCAAAGTATAAGATGCCCTTAATGAACAACAGTACCTATTGACTGTACTACATCTTGCATCAATCATCTACTCAATCTAAAACATGTGCCATCATACCAGTTTAATATGTAGCCGTAGATGTGTCAATGCTAACAATAAAAAAGAGAATATAGTGTAAATATCGTCAATGTGTTTAGAATGGTTAATCATAAATAGCTGTGTGAAAAAGGGTTTTGCTGTAAGCTTTCTTATTTTGAAAAAAGATTTGTGTGGATAAAGTTTCAGAGGGAGAGATACACGGAAAACTTTAGTTTCATTTCAGATAAGTAAGATTTGGCAAACCTGATTTAAGTTGTGTGACTTAAGGATGATAATAATAGAAGTGGCATACTGCAATATTTATGCAGAAAAAGATAAGGGGTTGTTTTCAACCACAATTCAACTTATTCACAAAAATTATTTTTTATACTTATTACAGCTCGGTTCATTATTTAAAAAAAAAAAGCAAACCAAAAGAAACACAACAATTAAATGCCTCTGTGTAATGAAAACAGCTGGTACCCCTGTGGATTGACAGTCTTGCAGCCCTTATGGAGCAGATGTGCTGAAATCCACATTCGCTCTCCCTGGTATGACTCAAAAATAGTCTGACAGTTCGTTCTGATCAATTTATCTGATGCTGCTTTCAGGTGTTTTAAGATGCCAGATCTCAAAGGTCTTATCGCCTTTAAATTCTTAGAGCACTCTTCTAAACTTTCTTCAACTGTAAGTCACTGATAAGGAGCTCCAAATTTGACCTGAAAATTAGGAAACATGAAATTTAGTTTTCAGATAGAGAGAGAGAGAAATTGAAGCAAAGATTGTTATCCATTTATCCATTTATTGATAAATTAGTGTGACAAGGGTTAATTTGCTCATGTATAAGGACCGTATTTATCATAAATAGCTTCGTTGGGGCATCCATAGTACTGAAAGCAGATAATTACCCTTTAAATACTTTATGAACATTTCTGAATGTTAACGTTTTCTGTTTTAAAACTCAAGATGTTAAGATGCAGCATAGTGAAGTTTATAAAACCAATAGAATATTTCCATAATTTTAAGACATTTGAAATGATTAAGGTCAGAACAACATGTTCAAATTTGTTCAAAGGTTTTACAAAACAAATATAACACAAAAAGATATTCCTGTTTATGATGAGAGTGAAAGTAAGAAAAAAAGTTTTCTTTAATACCATGACCATATAAAACAATGACTTGGTAGGTTGTGGTATTTTACACATGACACATTTTAGGCAGCAGTGTCCAGCTGACCAAAGTGAATTTATTAGATGGATCAGACATGATGGTCAGCTATTTATAGACCTTCAAATAGGGCTAATCTCTAATGCTCAGAACCCAGACCTCAGAAATGTCAGCACTTGCCTTATATATCAAATCCAACATGTCAGCATCCTTTCACACACACCAATTAACATTAGGGAAATATTGGGCTGCTCTATAAATAGCAGAGGCTGGACTTCAGTGTTGAACTTTAAACCAATACCCATCAGTGAGATGGGGTGCCACTTGGTTTGTTGAAGTTGTTAACATCAAGTCTTTTTTTTTCTTGTTTATGTCCTTTTTGTTGTTGTAAGGTTTTACAACAGGAAAACCTTTAGTGTTCCATTAGTATTCTCTGACTGAAGCCACTACTTTTGTTCTCTTTTTGTTACATATGTTTGTTGAATGGTGTGTGAGTTTGATCATGCATGACTAAGCATCAGAGGTAATGACTGCATCTAATAAGTTTTTGGAAAGCTTTCTTAAAGTCCTCATTAAAGATAGTGTAGATGAGGGGGTTGATCAGAGAGTTAAGGTAGCCCAACCACGTAAGAAAATCTGCCATTTCAACAGAAGTGTTGCATGAACCACATGTGTTGACGATCACCTCCTTGACAAAAAATGGCAGCCAACAGATAACAAAGGCCCCTATTATCAACCCCAGTGTGGATGCTGCCTTTCGTTCCCGTGAACCTGAAATTCGGGGCGCTTGGTAAATTTGGCTTCGACGCGACTCGCTCCTCGAGTCATGCCTGCGTGACTTGCTTTGAAAAACTTTTTTGGAGGCTCGCACCCGTTCACGTGGCGTTTCCTCAGTAGAAGGCTCAGAGAAGGACTTTTCTGGTGGGCTTACAGGCTCTGGACTCTGAGGAGCACCATCGCCATCGCCATCGCTGTCTCCAGCAGGATAGGATGAAGGAATCATGCTCCCATTGGTCATGCATGAGTGGCGGCTAGCCCTGCTAGCTTCTCTGCGCATGTAAAGTGTCTGAGCAGCTTTGTAGATTTTGTAGTAGAGGATTAGAATGAGTATCAGAGGAATATAAAATGCTCCAAGTGTGGAATAAAGAGTAAAAGCCATGTGGTGGTGGATGATGATGCATTGATCCTTATGCTCTTCGTCATCGCTGTAGTGTCGCCAGAGTAGCGGAGGAAGTGAAATGAGAATGGACAATAGCCACACTACTGCCACCATGGCACCAGCCCGGGCTCCTGTGCGCTTGCGAGAATACTCCACAGCATCTGTAATGGCCCTATAGCGGTCAATGGCAATTGTCGCAAGATGAAGAATTGAGCAGGTACAACACGCAATGTCTATGCTCAACCAAATGGTGCACACCACCTCACCCATGATCCATTTTTCATTCTGGATGTAGATTATGCTGAAGGGCATGACTAGCACAGCCACCAACAGGTCAGTCACAGCTAACGAGCAGATGAGGTAGTTGGCTGGGTGATGTAGCTTGCGGGTAACAGCAATAGCTGTGATCACCAGACAGTTAAAGAATGTAGTTAGTACGGCAACAATAGAAAGGGTTATTGTCAGTAGGATTTTACTGGGCGGGAGTGTTGCAGTCTCAAAGGAGTCATAACTGCTGCTGTTTGTAGCAAAGGCTCCTTCGGTCCAATTAAAGAAATCCATCCTGTAAAATTAAATGGAAAAAAGAGTCCAACATTAGGCATATAATGAGGAATGGTAAAAAAAAAAACGCCAAGGTACAACATTGAAATGTTTGTGACTTGTGCAATCACACCAAAATCTGGTAAGGAAATTAAAATGTCAAGGTAAAGTTCTTCAAACTTCACCTCTCTTTTTCAACATTCAAGGGCGGTTATTTGGGCTTTGACATTACATACAAAATAAATATCAAAATGTCTGAAAAGAATCCTTTCATTCAAGAACATGCCATTAAACTCAAAATACAGATTCTGCCCAAGGCCATGAAGCAACTCAAGCTATGAAAAAGCTTATCTTGCTCACAAAAGTTTGCCCTTGAAGCAGTTGAAGTAATCCAGTCCTACCTGTCTATCCTTTGATGTTTTGCTGATTTTGGTCGCTTCAGTGTGCAGCAGACCATCTGCTGAGATCTGTGCTGCCTGCCAAACCTGCCATCACCCCACCAATATTGTTCAGTGCCTAGGAGAAAGTAAGAATGAGAGGAAAAATGTGAGAAAATAGTCTGAATTATGCCAATTATAATTTACATTTGCTTTTTGGTTACATATAGCTTAGGTATACACACACATACACACAAAAAGCAAGTGAAGATATAAATATCAAAGATAAATTGATACACTTTACAAACTTTTATTTCCTTCTAATTGAATTCTCCAAAACAAAATCCAGCCCAACCAACTGCTTTCAGAAATCAGTTAATTTTCAAAATGTGTGTAATATTGTGTAATTTATTTTCAGTATAAATATAGAAGTGCTGTAAAGGCCTCAGAGATTTCATAGAGATTATTAATCTACAAAACAACAGTTAACACACCAGACTGATCTGAGGAAGAGTTATGAAGAACTCAAAAGCATGGCAAAGGTACAAAATAATATATTTTTTTCACAGAACACCATTTGATCCGTCATCAAAAAATGGAAATAATATGACAACACTCCAAACCTAACAAAGGCATTGCATTCACCTAAACTGACTATGCAAGGAGAGCATTAATCAGACATGCAGCAAAGAGGCGCAGGGCAACAATGATATCCTGATCGTGTGGGAGAATCTGTTAACAAGACAATATTTAGTTATGCACTCCTCAGAACTAACTTTTATTTTTTTTTAAAGTGAAAAAAAATATATTTTAAAGAAAAAACCAAGAGAGCTCTTTTGCAGTTTAACATAAGCCATTCAGGAAGAGCAGAGTCTGGTACAATAAGAAAGGCCTGAGACTATTTGCATATGCTATGTGTTGGTGGAACAGTGATATACCCCAAAAGATGTGCAGCTGTATCAGTGGTGAAATATGGTTATAAAATATTGACCATGACTCAAGGGCTAAGTACAAATACAATACATGTTATTTTTATAGCTTTTTTTTTCTTCAAATACAATCCCCGTAAAATATATTGAGATTTGCGCCTGACTAATACAACTAATATTTTGCAATGTCACTAATGTACCTCTTCTTCTTGTTATTGTGGTAAAGTGGTTTGTTCTTCAAGCAGATGTTTTGGTATAATCCCCCAGATGGATAAATTCTGCCGTTGCTATACCTAATTTCTAATGAGCATCAGGAGACTAAACCTAAAAATGTCACCATCTGCAGCTGTGTATGTCAAGCACAGCTAGTGGTTGTACAATAATGGATTCAGTCACTATCATTTAATCAGAGTGCTAAGAAATGAATGTCATTGCAGCTTCTTCACATCTTCTTCTCTGCATTGTTTAATATCCTGAAGACATGAGTGGAAACTGTTGCTGTAGAAACCTAAGTAGTACAGTAATTTTAATAAATGTGATGATCTTGCAGATGCAGCCAAAAGTCTGAGTCAAGGTCTCCCACAAGACTGTCCAATATTAAGGTGATGGGTTAAGATTTGGGTGGGTGGAGGAGAGGGGCAACTTTGGATTTCATTTTACTTAAGCCTAATATATGCACTTTAATTATTAGCTGCAAAACACTCATTACAGACAGAAGACAGGAAAATAGTTTTTGGACAAAAGTCAGATTCTAAACAAATAGCCACCATGAAGAGAGCTGGTTGTTTTTTCCCCAACCCAATGATTATAGAATTTAAAGACAATAAATTGTCTTACTTTGCATTACATGCAATTCAACATTCTCTGCTCTGGAAACAGCTTGACAGAAAACCCAACAGTATGCAGATTACTTTGTGCAGAAAGATAAATGATAATTACTGCTGCGCTGATGCATTGTCAGCAGTGCACAAATGTGTTTCCGACTAAAATAAAGGGAAGAGCTGAGAGGGTCTTTAAGCAAGTTATATGGTGTGTGTAACTGCATTGACTGATATATGCAATACTGTCAAATGTTGTATAAACTATAAAAACATTCTTTCTGAAATGTTCTAAAGTGCAGCTTTTCTCCTCAAGGCCGTCTGAAGATAAGCTCTCCTGAACCAGCATAAATCCAGTCAGTTCTGCTTTATTCCCTCCAAAAAGCGCCTGAACACGGATTCAACAAATTTGAAAAGCGGAGTTATGGCCATATTGTTTTTAGAATTATCCAGTGAGTTGTTTGTGTGAATGTATGTGTGTTGCTACGTTTTCCACAGCCCATTCATTACAACATCTGCCCATTGTGAATGAGTAGATTCACAATCTGGGGGTAACCAGATTTCCCAAATCATTTCTAATTATCTACATTCTCTAATAACAGAAGATATACTCAAAAACAACAGTACTGTACAAAAACTACTCAGCATTCCAGAACAAGACTCATTCAGCATTTAATAAAAGCAGAGACATTTTAAAATGCATTCTTTGAATTTAAAAAAAAAATCTACCCTAAGTCGATAATCTTCAGTTACACATTAATATGAAATCACAAACCAAAGGCAGTATAGTCCAAACAGTTGCAGCAATATTACAACTGACATCTATAATTAATTCAGCATTTGTCAAACTGATTCACTCAATATTTAGGGTAAAGCTAAAAATTTAATCTTAATTTGTGAAGATTTCTAATTAAGGTTAATGCAACTATAATTACATCTGAATTTAATATTTAATTTTAGGTCTGAACTAGTTTTAGGGGCAAGATTTTTTTCAAAAGATTAAAAGCTTTTATGAATCTCAAACTGCACTTTGAAGAATCTAGTTCAGGTGTAAATTGTCTGAATACAATTTAAACAAAACATCAAACATCTGGACACAAATCGATAGTAGCTGAATGATTTTAATCATACAGCACATTGCTACTGGGAGGTGGGCTTTCAGAGTGGTCAGCAAGCATCTGGCTACCAGAACAAAAAGGTTTCCTGAAGAATTTGGCATTGTAAGATGAAAAGTGTCGCTGCCTTCTTCTGTCTAAACAGGCAATACATGAAATACAGTATACACGCAAATATAAGCCATCAGAGAAATATTGTCAAACGGGGATTATTGTCAAACGAAATACCCAGCTTCTGACACTTTGCTACTTTGCCCCCTCTATCCATTTTTGCTCTTACAAGAACAGGGATGTCGCATCTGCCATGTTGAGTAGAAGCTTTGAAACACAGCTTGGCCCAGGCAAGCTGTTGAGCTGCCAAGTCCTGTTGTTTAAGAGCAGAGCTGTGAAATAGCTGAAGACTGTGACTGACAGCTCAGGAGCTTTGCAAAGTAAATGACATGTGAAAATAGCAAATCTCATTTATTTACTAGTCTGTGTTTTTGTTTATATATTTCATCCACTGTCATATTTCTTTTTATTTATATTTATGACAAAGTCTGCTGTTAAGAAAATGAGCTGCATAGAGTATTTTCTAAGATGCTAAAATGCTGCTTTATCTTCCGTAATGAGTGGAAGTAAATATACTTTCTGGGTGATGTACCCTTATTATTCACACATTTCAGAGAATCTTTTGTTTGTTTGTTTTATTTAGTGGCTGTGATTATTGTTTTATTTGATTTACACAGAAGTAAATAATCCAGTGCACATATTCACTTTGAAAAGCTACTATCAGAAAGCTGCTATCGCTTTCTGTCCAGAGTTGTATATAGACAATCAAACAGCCAAATGCTGTGTGCTAATGCTTTAGCAGTGGTTTTCCAACAGTGTTATTTAGTCTTATGATTTGCAGCTGTTCTGTACAAATAAAGATCGACCCACCCACGATGCCGGAAAACTGGGGAAACTGAAACGACAAATTATTTAACTATTAAATATCTGACAACTTGTGTTTAAACCGCTGATATACATTAAAGAACTTGGTGTTTCTGATGTGCCCCTTTTTACAGCGGAGCCCATGTCACAAAAAGTTTCTAGATACAACTCCAGAAGTGAAGACTGTCAAAATTTTATTTTCTAAAATGTTTGTTCAGCTTTGTCCTTTTCAATTTCACAACATTTATTGTGGTCATGAAATGGTCTGTGCTGCTTGATGTTTTTATGACATGTAAAATGTATATTTTCACATTTTCAAAAAATGTTTTTGTTCAAAAATGTAATCTATAAATCAGTATGTCTTCATGTAATCCACTTTTACCTCTATTTTCACTTCTTAATAAAGTGAATATTTGCTTTAAGCAACAAAGTATTAAAATCAAAAGTTGTCTACATTTAGGCTGACATTAAAAAGCTGAAGCTAGATAGCCTTGCACTCTATACATTTTGGGGAAATTCATCACAGCTGTACATTTGGTGATTGTCGGACTGCCTGTTTTATTAATCACAAAGTCAGACGGAGTGACCCCTGCAGTCAACAGCAGCTGTTGTCTGGCATAAAAACCAAAAACTAAGAGTAAGTCATTAGTTGCTGGGAAGTAGAAAGCCAAGCTTCTGAAAAAATAATTCATCAAAATGGGAAAATCATACAGGGGGCTTTGGCTACAATTTATTCAACTATTAACTTCCAGCCACTGCAGAAATGAAGTGCATCAACCAAGTAGGGCTGCTGCATACCAGGTGAAAGTTGAACCTGAACTCACCAGAAGCATAACAGGATATATTTATATAGTTTTTAATTGACCCTTATCTTAAAACATTTAATTAGCTTCTATTAACTGATGATAAAAACTATTATAGTTGTACAAACAGACATGCTGAAATGCTAAAAAGTGACATTGTTTTGTAGTAAATTGATTTATGTTGGTTGACAGAAGCTTGAATAAAACTAAAACAAAAACCAAAAAAAAAAACCCCACAAAAAATAAAGAAAAGTAATGCATCAACTGCCACTACTTTAAACACTCTAAAATATTTAATCAGCAAGTTTTCTATTTGTTTTTTTTTTCTTCCATGTCTTCTCTTTCATATTTCATTGGTGAGTAATTGTGGAAGTAACACCAAACATATAAATCTGGAAATTGTTAGAAGCTTCAATTCTAGGAGGAAATAGTTAATTTACCACAATTAACTCATTTCTGGTTGTTTTATCAGCTTTTAGAAAAAGATGTAGTGAAAAATTATCAAGCCATGTTATCTGTCCTTTACCCTGTAATAAAAATATATTTTTAACATAGGCAC